ACACTGCATCACTGCGAGCTGGGACGGGACTGGGAGACGTGGCAGCAGCTTCTACAGGAAGCTGTGCTCCTGAAACCATGCTCAACAGTTCACTGTCCATGATGGCACAGGCAGAACTCGGGGAGTGGAGCCGTACCCGGTGGAGCCCTGGGGCACAGCGGACAGGGAAAGGGTGGCATTTGAACCCACCTGCTGCCTGGCACGAAAAGCGGAGGCAGTGTGCTTCTGTGAAGATGGCAGCCCAGCCTTGGAGAGCTACAGGGCAATTCTTGACAGCAATGGGGTCAGCCACGCTTTACAAAAAATATTGATGTGTGCATAGGGGTCCCCCCTAGAGCAAATGCCACCCCTCAAACCAGACTTACCCAGGGCTGGCAAGCACAGGGCTGATTTGGGACACAGTTCGAGTCACCTCTAACCCATCACTCCCCAACTAGTCACAGTCCCCACCTAGCCATGAGTGTGGGAGTGCCATGCTTGAACGCGGGGAGCCATGGGATGGAATGCAGGGTGTGGAGGGGCACCATGGTGGAGTGGGGGAAGCTGAGGCCCCTGGCTGCCCTCCTAGGACCAAGTGCTACACACCACCCAGAGCCGGCAGTCACACCAGTAACAAGGGTGTCCGCTGCCTTAGACTTCGTCCAGACCCTGTAGGTGAGCTCTGCCTCCCACCTGTAGCCTCCACTCCAGTCCCCCTTTCTCAGCAGCCTCCCAGCCATCACTGGGACCAAGTGAAGCCCTCTCTGGGGGCAGGACTGTTCCCAGGAAAGGCAGGGCCTCATATGCACAGGGACAAGTACCAGCGTGCCTCCAAGCCCATCCTAAACGGCATAGGCACCTTTAAAGCCCTGAGCCACAGCTCACACAGGACGTGGAACACCCGAAGTTCAGCGGGAGTGGCAGGGGCTGGGGCAGGTGCATAGCTCTCCTGGGAAGAAGCCCACCCGGCAGGATGGGAGGGGTCTGGAGCCAGGCTGGGTCCTGACTGAGTGCATCTGAACTCCACACTTCAGGTGACTGAGCAGTCAAATGGGCTAACACGTCCAGCTGGGGTTCAAACCTTGGCTGTCACTAACATCTGAGACAAGTCACTGGGCCTCTGGAGGTGCCTGTAAATAGAGAGCCAGGTGTTCCGCGGTGCCATGAGCTGGGCATGGCTGGCAGTGCGCACCAGGGGCTGGTCACACGCCACTCCTGTCTCAGCACCACGTGCCGCTCCTCTCATCAGCTCCAGGTGACATCTGGCTGGCAAGGGCTCCGTCAAACGCCCCCTGACTTTCTCAGGGAGGATGTCTGACCGACACTCCCACTGGTGATGAGTGTCCCCCACCTCGCTGGGAAAGCCTGCCGCTGTCCGTTTGCCGGCGGGGAGCAGTGATACCCTGATGGCGGTGTGACGAGACACACCACTCCGGGAGCGCTGCAGAGCCCACCCAACTTTCCTGGGGGCTGCAGTGTATTTTATACAGGCGAGTAAACAGGAAGACAGGATGGGGTGGGTTTGTGGATGTGGAGTGTGTGGACTGGACAGGAGAACCTCAGCCTAGTGCACACCACTGCCAGCTCAAAGATGTGGCAGCCGTCTTCCCGGGTGGCGAGTTTTCTCAGCCAAACACAGGAGAGCTTTCTCTATCCCATATTAAGGGCTAATGGGTCAGATAGGCTTGCATTTATCCAGAGCTAGGCGATTTGCCCCGGCCAGAGGCCGCCTCCTCCTTCCTAACACTCCCCAACAAAAATCTGCCCTTTCAAATCAGCCTGGCCCTGCCGAGGACACACCACCCTGCAGCAGGTGGGCCTCCTTCACTACCTGCTTGTAAGAAGAGCCTTGAGGTACAATGAGACTTGGCAGCAGCATATGAGGTCACCCCAGGGCTACATGCCGTGCTGAGGCCAGGCAGGCTTGTGGCCCCTGAGGACTGTGGGCCTCCAGCTGCCCCTGACATGCAGAAGTGCCAGAAGAGGGTGCCAGCTCTTTGCTGTGGAGGGAGGACACCTTCACCTTCCTCACTGACCCCACAGCCGGGATGGGGGGACCATTTCCAAACATTCTTGCCTTGCTTGAAACTAAACACCCTTTGTCCAGGGAACAAAGGACCCTGGGGGAAGGAGGAGGGATTTTGTTATGTGATGAGAGCTCACTTGAAATGAGTTTTCCACAGCTCCCACTCCCTTTTCAAAGGTTGGGACTGGATGTCTGTATTTCAGACAGCTTTATAAATCATCCACGTGCGTCAACCCCGGGTGCACCGCCACGCCCCCCCCGCGCCCCCCATCCACAGGACGTGCTTCCCCGGCTCATTCCCAGCCCACTCCCTGCTTCTCCCACCACCCTCAGTCCCAGTCCAACGGTTCCCACCTGGGGAGACGCTGGCAAAGTGTCCTGTGTCACACTAAATGCAGAGCCTCCCCAGCCCCTAACCTTCCTGTCCTTCAGGCCTGACGGGAGTTTCTCTCCTGGAGCCTTTATCTCTGGCATGTGCAGAGTGAAGAGGATGAATCTCTTCAAGAGACGAAGGATATTCTGAATTAGCATGTGAGTCAAAGGGGAAAGGAGAGAAACACAGCCCTCTCCTGTTCACTGCCCACAGTGTGTGCTGGAGCTCACGCTAAGGGCAGATGTCAAATGTTGCAAGGTGCAGGAAAGAGGGACACTTCAGAACACCTGCCATCCACTCAGGGCTATGGGAAGTGGAGGCACAGCTGTCTGATCTCAGCTCTCACCACTGGCCTACACTGGCCCAAGGTTTTCTATGCCCTGAGACATCCCTGTTGAAGCTCCCCAGGTCAGGGCCCAAAGTTGAGACCACATGAGGGAATCCTGAGCCCACACCACGCCAGCACCCCAACGCCAGGAAGCCAACCCAGCAGCTGAACAAAGCATCTTTTATTTGTGATGTACAAATACAACCAATGCAAAAAAAGATCATTTCCCCCTTTGATTCCAGCGATAACAAGTTGCTAAGGAAGAAAAATATATTTATCAAGAGTAAGCTTATTTCAAAGTTTCATCTACAAAATCCAAAAAGGGTTAAAAAGAATCATACACGTGTCCTATACACATACCCACCAAGCAACAGCCTGAAACGGTGGATACAACATGCTCCAAACAAAACAATAAAAGCCTGGATATTCTCAGAACTAAAATGGGGGGAGAGGAGAAAGGCTGATGTTTGAGAATCTATCAGGTCGACACCAACAGAGGGACTTGCTGGTCTGAGGCGTGGCCTCCACCTGGCTCCAGGAGCCTCGGGCAGCAGCCGCAGAGGGGGACGGGACACGCAGGGCCTGGACCACGTGTGCACTGACCGGAAAGATGTACAGACGTGAGCTCGCCTCGTGTGGGATCTAGGCCTTTTGGTCCCGCTGAGTGGGAGGTATCAGAAATCTGTGATCTGTGACAAACCAACAGTTATCTGTCCTTGGCGAGGCTGGAGGAGCCCCGCTTCCCAGGTGTGCCTCCTTGACTCCATGATTCCCAGAAAGTTTACCAATCCTCCAGGAATTAAAAGCCCACTTCATGACAGTTCCCTGGGAGCTGCAGGGACAGGAGGGGGCTTTATCCAGTGTAAAGTTGTCGGGTCCCCTACCAGCAAGTGCGAGGCCCACTGCTGGTGCAGTCAGAACAGGGGAGTGCACCCAGCAGAGGACTGACCTCATGGAGGGGACCCATGCACAAGGCCCCTGGCAGGAGCAGGAATCGGAGGATCAAGAGAGGCTCCGGAAGATTCTGCCGGGACAGAAGCCTCTGGGCTCAGGGGAGGGGAGGGAGGTGGGGCAGGCTGGGGGCAGTGTCAGCCCTTCCCAAGGGAACTTCTCAAAGGCCGGCGTCTTAAGACACTCCTGAAAGCGGTGCTCAGGGAGAAGGGTGGGATGGTGAGGGGGAAGCATCAGCTTTTTCCTTGATAAGAGTTTAGCGTTTCTTCCCTGGAAGAGTGGGCAGGCCCAGGGGCCAGGGGTGGCCTGGGTTGACATAAAGCCTCACTGGAGAAGACACCACCTTAGCTAGTGTCCCAGGAAGAGAGAGGAAACGCTGCCCCTTGCACTTCGGCCACTGCACAGGGCAGTGCCAGAGAGAAGTCACTGAGGCTATGGAGCGGGGCTGCTGGGGCTCAGGCTGGGGCCGCCTGACAGGTCAGGACACTTGGGCCTCACCAAGATAGCCAGGGCACTGCCTGGGGGGGTGCAGGCAGACTAGGCCTGCTGCTGGCTAGGGGCTCTCTGAGGGGGAGCAGGCAGGAGGAGGTGGGGAGCACCCCACCTTCAGAGAGCTTCCCCCACCTTCAGAGAGCTATCAGCACCAAGATATGATGGGAAATGCATTGAATACCCCAGGAAGAGAGATGCTCCTGGGGACAGAGTGGGACTCCCTGATGTTACCCCTGAGACTAAGAGCAGAGGTATCTGGGGTGGGTGAAGGTGGGGGACAGAGCGGGGGATGGAGCGGAGAGAGGTAAGGGGACCTCTGGCTTTATCCTCTGTGAAGTCCTCGTGGTGCCGGCCTCACCATGGGCACAGGAGGTGAGAGGCACTCAATCTGGTTTTCTCAGTGTCCCCACGAGAAGGGACAGAACAGCCTTCCTCCCGGTCAGCCAGGCCCGCAATGCTGGACCCTCCCTGTGACCCTTGTGAACCATCTCAAGCCCTGCAGCCTGGTGTCCGGCACAGTGCTCTTCCTGGGTCTCTCCGCACCGGCACCAGCTCTCACACCGACACCTTCTTAGGAAGCAGCGAGCCTTCACGCCAGGCCTCTCAGGAGGGTGGTTATAAACTCCCTATCAGTTCACGTGTGCTGGGGGCTGCCAGGATCCAGCTGCAGAGAAGGGGGAGCCTCACACTTCAGGACTTGAGGGCCGAGTGAGGAGGAATCGCTGTTGGAGGCTGAGTTTGGGGCCTAGGCCTTGGTCAGTTGCTGCCTCAGCTTCCCCTCTCCTGCTCGCTCCCAGCATTCCACTCATCAGAACGGAGAAGCAGGGGCATGTCTGCAGCCTGGACCATGCCTCCCCACGGTCTATGCTTCCCAGGGCAGCCTGGCCCAAGTGGGGCTGAGGCCACAGCTGAGAGCCAGTGAGCGGGGAGAGAACGGGCCTCAGGAGCACGGGGTCTGCCTCTCGGGGCTCTGGCCGTTTAGTGGCAGCAGCCCCCACAGTGCCCACCTGCATGGGAGTGCTGACTGTCCCCAAACTTGGTCCTGCGACTCAGGATCTCATAGGAGCAGTCGTCCCCACAGCACCCAGACATGCTGGGGGAAGAGTCGTCGACTTCAAACCTGCAAGGAAGTGGAGGGCGGGCACTGCAGGAGTGGACACTGCCTCACCATCTCACCAACCTCCGTCCCCACTCCAGGGGTGCCTGTGCCTCTCCTGAGCCCGAGGAGGGCCCGGGGAGTCATGACGAGGAAAGACCTGCACCCACCACCGTCACAAGAACCCCACCAGGGCCCTGTTCTTACTGTAGCGCTTCTCGGAAGAACTGGTAGGCGCCATGGTTGTGTTTAAATACTGTTAACATAACTTTCTTCATCTGTGTGCTGAGAAGCAAGCAGAGACGCCATCTTTGAGAGAGCGGCCCCTCCCACTGTCTCTGCCTGTTTGCCCCTTCTTGCTCCTCTGAGGTGCCCCCAGGCCTGGTGCTATCCTCTCTCAGGCCTGTAGGCACCCCACGCCAGGCAACCACATGCCCATGGTGGCAACCCTCCCACTTTATCTCTGCACCTCTCCTGCAACCAGAGCTAACAGGCCAGGCCAGCTGGCTGCCTTTCAGGGTATGGTGTCCATAGGTACAGGGGCGGGGCTGTGTCCTGAGGAGCCCCGGATGCCTCACTCCCTAAGCAGCCCTTTCAGTACGTCCTCCATCTGAGTGATGTCTGACGACCTCCAGGCAGCTGCCTCTTACCTGTTGGCCATGAGCTGCAGGATCTGTATGAGGAACTTGCCCAGGCCTTTCCGTCGCACCTTACTTTCCAACTGAACCTCATAGCTGCAGGAAGACATGAGAGGTGAGTGTGAGGGCAGGCGGAGGCAGCCTGTGGACCTCAGGCCCCATGTGGCCAGAGTGCCAAGGAGGCCACCACTACCCCGGCCCCCCAGGTACCCGCTAATACCAGTACAGGACTTCATCCCCGCACTCCACGTCGAACCGGAAGTGAGAGAAAGCAACAGGGACGGAATGGTCTTCCCAAGCAATGAGGTACCAGGCCCGGTCATCTGTCATTTCCTCACGCTTCTCTCGGTCCTTCCAGCCCCACTCACTCTGCTCGTACCTGGGGGGTTTGGGGACAGTCAGGGTGGGGAGCTCAGGGAGAGACAGTTGGCCTCGGGAACAAGGCTCTCTCCTGCAGGACTGCTTACATGGACTGCATGTTGGTTTTGGTGAGGTCGAAGGCCCAGTCCACGGTGGCTGGCTCCAGTCCAGACACACGCTTACATTCGATGGAGACGTTTAACCTGTGGAGAGGAAGAGGCCGCTGTGGCGGGGCCTCCAGGCCACACACCTGAAAGCTGACAGAGGCCTTCCCTGTCTCGGCTGCTTCCTCTGGAACCTTCCCCTGGTCGTCTTCATCAGGTGGCACTTTGTACACGTCTGTCCCTCTCTGCTCTTCTCCTACCGACCAGGTGGCTCCTGTACCTTGTCACAAACACTCATGTCGTCTTTGTTCTCTGGGTTCCTGTCCTTAGGCATTCTGTCTGTAGTTTAAATTTCTGAACTGGTGTCTCCTGGAAGCTCCCAGGGGACCTCTTTCTTGCAAACCACCAATCTTCCCTCCAAACTGCCAGGTGACCTCCAGCCCCTCCAGATGACCTCTGGGACGCACAGCCCTCTGAGAACTGTTCCCCACTGAGGACACAGGATGCTCTTGCATGATCAAACAGGGTGGGTCCACCCCAATGGCCTGTTCTCTTAAACTAACAAGTAAATGCTATTACCTGTTTCTAAGCGGAATTTAAATAAACAGCTCAACTCCCTGGCCAACCTGTGAAAAGATGTCCTCTAGGCAGCATTTCTTTCTGAGTCCCATGACCCTTGACACAGGCCTCCGATGCCCTCCCTGGAGTTATGTCACCTCTGCTAATGTGCAGGCCACGTAAGCAGGCCAGGTGCTCAGCCTCATAAACCTGTCCAGAACTTCCTGGCCCCGCAGCGCTTTTCTAAGCACCAATCTTGTCGGAGCTGTATTTTCCATGGTTCTGTCTGCAGTCTAAACCCGCCATTAACCCGCGTTCTAGGTGTGGGAAAGTGGGCTTGTGGCCACATGAATCACAGCAGATTCCAGGACCAGAGGAGCTGAGGCAGCTGGCAGCGCCTGCTTCGGAGCCACAGCACGTTTCCAGAAGTCAGTGGGAATGTGGAGAGTGGAGACAGTAAGAGACAGATGGAGGAGGGCAAGTCGGACAGTGTCAGCGGATCCACACAGCTGCTGTGTCCGCAATGCCCACACGGTGCTGACAGGCTGACACATGGTCAGCAGTCAGCCGTGCCACTGCTACACCACCAGGTGCCTCAGCGCCACCGTTGGTAGGAGCCAAAGAGTCGGCTAGGGCCCCGTGAACAGTATGTCCAAAGTGTGTGAGACAAAGTCTCACCATCCCTGCCTAACACTTGGCTGTAGGTCTTATAAGGTAGATTTATAGGATATAGTCAATACTCTTTGTCAATATCACAGTTCAAAAGCATCGACTGTCCTTCTGTCTTCCTTATTCTTTGTTCAACCTTCACATGCATATGAAACAACTGAAAAAACTCATAGCTTGGGTCAAGTATACCTTAGTCTTTAAACTGACATCCCTACTCTTTATTGATTCAAAAAGGACCTTGAAGAACTGAGAACTCTGGAACAACGGCCTGGCGCCATGAGGCTCGAGGCTGAGGTGTCCGTGTACACATTTTGGGAGCTGTCTTGACTGTATTAGTCATCTGGATTATAATCTTTTGACTTCCACCTCCCTCACCAAAAAAGAGACCAAGACAGGTGAGCTGTCCAATACAATATGTCGTCTGACTCAGTGACTGCTTCCACAGCTATAGATTACGGATCCAAGTCAGATGAAATCATTGACAACTTCAATCTTTTCTCCATGTATCATGATATTGCCTATAGGTCCAGTTATGAGGATTTCTGTTTTCTTGAAGAAGTGGAGATATAATCCATACGGAAGGGTTTTTTGACCTCCAGTAAATATTTCAAGTCTTCTCTACTTTCTGAGAGTAAAGTTGTGCCGTTTGCATAATGCAGCTTGTTGGTGAATCTTCACCTAAAGGTGACTGCCACATTCTTCTTTATATAGTCTAGCCTCCTGAATGATTTGCTCAGCACAGACTAAATAGATATGGAGAAAAGGTACAACCCTGATGCACACCTTTCTTGACTTTAAACCATGCACTTTCTCTTTGTGCTGTCTGAATAGCTACTTCTTAATCTAGTTACAGGATGTGTGTGAGCACATTAGAGGACTGTAAAGTGTCTGATGACAAACAGGAAAAATAACCGTAAATGAATGGATTGTACCTCAACATCAAGAAGACAGAGATCCTCATTACATGACTGATCAGCAACATCAGGGTAGATGACGAAAAGACTGAAGTTGTCAATGTTTTCATCTTACTTGGATTCACAATCAAAACATTTGGTACCAGCAGTTAGAAGAGCAGGAAATGTACTGCACTGAGCAGGTCAGTCGTCAGGGACCTCCCCAAATTACTGAGAAGCAATGATATCAGTTTAAAGACTAAGGTGCACCTGATTCAGGCCATGGTATTTTCAATCACTTGCTATGTACCTGAAAGCTGGATTATGAATACGGATGACAGAAGAAATGATGCCTTTGAGCTGTGGTGGTGAAAAGCACTGGATATCCCATGGACTGATAAAGGAACAAACAGGTGTGTCTTGGAAAAAATGCAGCCAAAGTGCTCCTTGGAGGCAAGCATCGAAAAGCTTCCTCTTACACACTTCGGCAGGCTGCCAGGAGAATGCTTTCCATTCCTTGGAAAGGGACGTCGTGCACAGAAAGGTAGAGGATCAGAGAAAGAGAGAAGATCTGCAACAAGCTGGCCTGACGGTGGCCTGCAGCAATGGGCTCAGTGTGGTAAGATGAC